GGTGGCTGGCGTCCGGTGAAGACCGTGTTAGGATCTCGATAGGGCTTCAGAAGTTGGACATGGAAGGCGTTGTGAATCTTCCTGGTAGCTGGCAGGCGTAAGCGGAAGGTAACAGGAGTAACCTGTGCTGCAACGAGAAATGGCCCGCAGAAGCGAAGTCGCAGTTTGGATGGGAGATGACTGATGCTGATATTTCGGGTGTCGAGTAGAACCTGGTCTCCCACAGTGATGGTGTGGTTAGTGCGGTGGCGATCGGCCTGGCGCTTCTGTTGCTGCTGAATGTCGAGGAGGCGCTTGCGGGTCCGATCCCAAAGCTGATGCATGGTCGTGATGAAGTCGTTTGCGGGTTGAACTGTGGCTGATGCTCTTGGTTTTTGTGGCGTGAGCGGGTGGCATCCGTAACAGAGGAAGAGCGACGTGAGTGGCGTTGTTGTAGGCAAACTCCAGGACGTGCAGATGCAAGTCCCATTTAGAGATTTCGTCTTTGCATGCTTCGCGGAGGAGTTGCTCCATAATTTGGTTGAGGCCCTCGGTCTGTCCATCTATCTGCTGATGGTAGGCGGAAAACATGGCGAGAGTCGAGTTACTCGCTCGAACTCGTTTCGCCAAGCTTCGCGATCGGCTCGCATCTCCTCCTGAAGGGCGGCGATGCTTGCGAAGAGCTGCTGGGTAACCTCGACGTTGTCGAAGTTCACCATCCTGTTCAAAACATGCACGGAGGGGTGAATTCGAAAAACGCGGAGCTGGTGCTTACCAGAATCGGCGCCGAATTTGTCGCCCCCTTCTTCTGCTTAGCTGAGCGCGGCTGAGTGAGAAAAATTCTGATTACCAAGTGTCACAGGATCGAATGTGTCGAGGAAAAGTTGCACTATCGATTGATACAAGGCGCTTTTATACTTCCAAAGTACATCAGGTAACCACGTTTATCCTATCCAAAGGGAATAGACCCTTCTAGATATAGAAACACCCTGCGTATAGCCACGCGAGGCTATTGGCTTTAAGGGATTACGGCAGGATTACGTTAGATATAGCGCGCCAGTACATCCCGAGCCAAGTTGGTGATATAATTATAATGACAGGATAATCCAAAGGATAATGGAATAGGAGAAATATGAAACCAAATGCGATGAAGAATGAAATAGAAAGGAGATATGGAAAGGGAGATTGGTGTAACGGGGTCGTACTCTCACACTAGTGGTCCTTACAGGGCACACAGACGCTTCGTAGTGCCGCCCTGGGTTACTCTTGTTTAGTTTGTACTCTTGCTGACTGGTCTTCGGACCCTTGCCTCTAAGCTTGGACTAGTAGTGCCACCCTAAGCCGCGTGTCTCTTGCTTGGCACTGCCCCTCACCTAGCCTAGGGGTGTGTCAAACATACAGTATCTGTATTTGTTATTATAGGCTAGAAAGGTGAGTTCTCTTAAAGAGTACAACCTCTTAGACAAAACCACCCTGTGTCTCTCATTATAATCAACAATTCTACACTGAGATCTCTGCCCAATGGACACTTGAGAATCTTCTAACGCAGCATCAGCAACCACTGCTGGAAGACTGCCGTGTGCCCATTGGGCACTGAGGCAAAATTTTGCGTGGCAGCAGAAGCCAGCACATCGCCTCGGCAGCGCTCCCAGATGCGGTTAGCATTGCTCTCGGCATGCACCTCCCATCTCGAGCCGCGCCTAAGGAGACAGTAAAGCCTGTTGTTTCCCTTCAGTTTCGATCCATCACTGCAAGAAACCATCGTTCCCTCCGACTCTCCCTTGCCCCAAGCAAGAGAGAGCCCCCCTCTCACAACCGCTAGAGCAGAACGATTTCCTACTCTTAGTAAGAACAATTTTCCTACTCTCAGTCTTTCCCCCCAGAGTTCGTCATGGGAGACTTGGACGATGGGGATGATGGGGGGGGGGAGATGATCCTAGAGATAAGCGTTTGTTTAGAGGCACACCCCTCAGTGGTCTTGATTTCCTTTGTCGAACCCATGCCGCTCTTGTTTATTCGAAACCCCTCCCATCTCTTAGCAGCGAAGAGTGGGAGCGAGAACTTGACGAGGTAACCGACACGGTTGCCTCGTCCTCCAAGCCCCCCCCCACCATGCCTCTTGCCACGAAAACTCCATCTGCTTGTCCTCCCGCGTCGAACGTCCCTACCCCTCCTTCTGCCACGAGAGCCTTATCTGCTTCTACTCCAGCGTCGAACGACCCTACTCCTCCTCCTGCCACGAGAGCCCCATCTGCTGCTACTCCCTCGTCGATGGCCCCTGCCCCTCCCGCCGCGACAACCCCCCCAGTTACTCCTCCGACTGCAGCAGCCCCCTGCCTCTACTGCATCAACGTCAAAGAAAAGGCGTTGATACCAGCAATCGCATCTGCCCATTGCACCGCCTCCGCCAAAACCACCGACGCCGCCAGAGCTGGTCTCCATGCCATCTGTTAAACCTACAATTGTAGAGAAACGTGCGAGGGCATATGAAAAGGCATAACTCAAATACACCAATGATTGGTTGCCCAAATTTCCCTTGCTAGTCCTTGATAAAACTGATGATGGAATCCCCTACTTGCGTTGCAGTGTTTGCATGGAGCACGGTCCCCTCCACGCAAGATACGGGCGCGAGGGCAGTGGTGATCGAGATCTAGAAGTGGGGTCGATGCGCTGGCATCTGGAGAGCCAGAAGCATGAGGACGCAGTGAAGAAACAAGAGATGCAGCTGAAGGAGGTGGAACATCAGAATAAAATGGAGGACTTCACTACGAATGGCCCAGAGGGCGTGTGGATCATTCGTCTACTCTGAGCGATGCTGTTCATCAGCAAGGAGGACGCACCCATCAGCATGTTTACAATACACGGCTCGTCGGCTTCTTAGTGCACGAGGGAGTGAAGGACAGCATCTACATAACACAGTATGTTCGTATTCAACTCACCACGGCAGTCCTTGTTTACCTTAGATCTCCCAGTCCTTATAATTTCCACACCGTGTGCCGTCTTTCTTTTTACGTCCGTTGTCCCTGCCTCTACCTAAAACACTAACCTACTCGTGTTTCTGTCCGCCTCTTGGGTACGGCTTCAAGGAGATGGCCAAGGCCATGGTGGCCTTCTTGAAGGCACAGCAGATGACACACATCCACGCCTTGCCCTTCATCGACCTCCGCTGCGACGGAAGCACCGACAGAACGCGGGGGAAACACCTGATACTGTTCCCGATGTTTATGAAGAAGTGCAAGGTGGTCACGGAGTTCCTAGAACTGCTCACCATCGACAAATGCGACGTGGCCTCGCTGCAGTCTGACGTGCATAAGATTTCTGGAATCAACACCGATGGGGCGTCCGTTATGACTGGCGAGTACAACGGACTGGTCGCGTGCCTGCGGGTGAAGATTCATCACCTTGTCAGCATCCACTGCATCGCGCACATGTGAGATCGTACGTGGTTACATACCCTATTGCGCATGACCATGTGGCATGCTTGCGCATGAACTCATTCTCACACACACTTCCCGTTTTTTTTCAGGGAATCTCTTGCAGTCAAAGACGCCGCCACCACCTTCCCAGATTTCAAGATCATCGACGCGGTAATCCGTGCGTTGGGGGAGATTGTGGGCCTGTCCACCCCCTGGTACGAGAGGTTGTACCAGCCTCGAGCACCAGGGGTTGTACCTCATCCGGTGGCTCTCGCGGGGGGATGCCACCAAGCGGCTTTGTAGCATCCTTGGCGCGGCGATCGTCGTCCTCATCGAGCACACGCACAAGCTGGCAGCCGTGGTGAAGACCCTGAAGTTTCACTACGGCCTCCTCTTCCTCGCTGATGTCTTCGCGATAGGTAAGTTCTATGAGTTTAATTTATTGTACTTGCTCTGTCCATTCTGTTTGTCATAATACCCTGCATAATGTTCTTTGCACCATTCACACACGTATGCTACTACTGTTGGTTGACTCATGCACTTCTCTGCTCTTTATGCTCACCATTCTATAGGTGGACATCACTCTCGTGTCTCAGGAGGTGGACCGCACCCTCACATACATCAGGCACCGCTACGTCGAGTACGGCACCACCTTCGGCGGTGGCATGAGCAAGAAGCTGTCGAAGTTCCTTGAGCGCCTCGGCAAAGGTGAAACCAGCATGGTTGTCACCGGCGTGGATAGCGATGGCCGGCCGTGCAGTCACTCATTCGAACTCAGCGAAGAGCGTCTCCCTGGCCACAAGTTCGGGGGAAGCCAGCCGAACTACGAGGAGTTGTGCAGTGCGATGTCGAAGGAGTTGGTCGCCAACGTGGAGCAGCGGCTGTGGGACCTGAAGCGCCTTGGCGGCGCGGGACTCTTCAGGGTAGAGTGCTGGCCGAAGAAGGCGGAGGCGCATGAGCGGCGACATCTGGCGTGGCTGGGATCGAACGTGGCCAGCAGGAACGGGCGGCTAGCGACGGGCGGCCAGCAGCGGTGAGCGGCGAGCGGCTAGCAGAGGGGCGGCTAGGAATGGGCGGCTAGCGACGGGCGGTTAGGAATGGGCGGCTAGGGCTAGGACTAGATCGGAAGTGCGGGTGGGCGGGGAGGACCTAACCTAGCGCATGATACCATCTCAGAGTAGAATTGTTGATTGCAATGAGAGATACAGGGTGGTTTTGTCTCTCTAAGAGTACGCACCTGTCTAGCCTATAATAACATATACAGATATGTTTGACAAGAGAGGTATCTTCCAGCGTGAGGAATCTTGGCTGCAAATGACATGTGGTCGGCGAGCGGTGCGCGTGAAACCGCCCAGGAATCAAGGCCACGCGTACAAGTTTCTAGAGGGAGTACACGGAAAATCTGGGGGTACCGGTATGCCCCCTATAGGATATCCCACAGGGTGATTCATGGACCAACTCTGATAAATCAGAGAAAATTCTAAATTCAAAAACCCCTCCGATTTTGAGAGAAACAGAGTGAATAACTCTGATAAAAACAAGGCCTGGTTCCATGGATTCACGGTTCATTCGCTAAAAGAATTACCAATCATATTGAATTTACCAGGATGCCAATAATGCTCCAAACACTGCAAAAGAATTACCCAAAACGCATACACTATGATATTATCTATAGAACCCAACAATCTCTTGAAAACTCAGGATATAACTTGCATTGACAATGCACGATTTTGGAGCACCGTACATACCACATTCCTGTGCCTCTCAACACCTGGCTTCTCCCCTCCCTCTGCTACTGCTGCTGTTGATGGTACCGGTAAGTGGGGTTTGGCCCATAAGTGCTTGTGCCCAACCTGCACCCATCCGAATGCCTGAGGACCCCCACTTCCCTGCCGTGAGAGGCTGAGAGGCAGTGGGTTACCATCAGTGAGCACTGCCTGCTGCTGCGGACTCAGGGCAGTTCCCCCTGATCTCAGCTGCTGCTGCTGCTGCTGCTAGTACTGCTGGCACAACAGGCTGGGAAGCAGGCTGATTGAGCCCTTCCGGCACAGCTGCACCTTGTACCATACCCCCCACCCATACCACCACCTGTGCCACCACCCATACCACCTCCCATGCCCGCTCCCATGCCTCCATACCCCCCTGCAACCCAATGCGCCTGCTGTGGCTGCTGCTGGAACACGGATTTGAGACCCACACAGAGCAGCACCACCACTGGAGAAGCCGGGGCAGCAGTGGCCTGGAAGTTGGGCTCATCAAGGAGAGGTGGAGGGGGAGGAGGGGCAGGCAGGAACGTTGGAAGCAAAGGCGTGGGGGTGGGGAGGATGGGCGATGGTGGGGACGAGGTCGAGGCAGCAGGCCGTGAGTCGGAGAGGGGATGGCAGGGGCAGAGCTGGTGCTGCTGCGGCAGCGGCGGCTCGTGCTGCCACGGGGGATTGCTGGGCGGGCTGCCCTGCTTGCCTGGATGCACTTCCTTGACTCGCATCCTGTGGCGAGGGGAACAACCTCTACGAGCACAAGGCGCTCAGCAGCTCATGCCGTGACTGCATCGCACCACACATGTTGCACTCCATGTCATCCGCCATCTCATATTCCCCTCCAGCCTCACCCCCTCCCCCTCCCCCTCCCCCTCCCACCCAAGTCCCCGGCTGTGCTGCCATGGTGCCGCCACAACCCTCCACTGCACACAGATGCTTCATAAAGAACAGCGCATGCGCCAGCTCAGCATCTGACACGTCAGCAGTCTGCCCATCCCCATCCCCGTCACTGTAACCATCACCACCACCATCCACCTCGTCAGCATCCTCCTGCACTGCTGCTTTCCCTTTGCCCTTGGCATGTGCTACCCCCTTTCCTGCGCCTTTTCCATCTTCTTTAATGACTTTTTCTCCATCCCCTCCCCCACCCTCTTCCTCATCTGGCTCTTCTTCCTCCTCCTCTGCCTCCTCCTCCTCATCCTCCTCTGCCTCCTCCTCCTCATCCTCCTCTGCATCCTTCCCCTCCTCTTCCTCCTCTTCCTCATCCTCACTCTCATCGGCCCCCATCCGCCCCTCCAGCTCACACCGCTCACACTCACACTCGAAACCGTACGCCTCCCTCACTCGCGTGCGCCTCTCCCCCAGGCGCCACCCCAGGGGGAAGTACGACACCACCACCTCCTCGCCTCGCTGCAGGTCCCGCATTGCCCGCAGCTGCAGGTGCGTGCTGCTGCTGAAACAAGCACCCGTGGTGCTGGTGGGGGCAGAAGAGGTGGTGGTTGTGGCAGGAGGTGCAGAGTCGAAGTAGTCAAACCTGAGGAGAATGGGGACCAGGGGAACGGGAGGAGAAGGAAAGGGAAGAAAGCAGAATCATGCTCCTGGGAACCGTACTGAACTCACTCCATCACTCACACACTCCACTCCCCCAGGCGCCACCCCAGGGGGGAGTACGACACCACCACCTCCTCGCCTCGCTGCAGGTCCCGCATTGCCCGCAGCTGCAGGTGCGTGCTGCTGCTAAAAGGCGGTCCAGCAGTGCTGTCAGCAGCGCTGGCGGTGACAAGTGGCAGGAGGTGAGGAATCGAAGTGATCAAACCTGGGGAGCAGGGAAGTTAGCGGGCGCCCCGGAGAGGGGAGGCGAGTCAGGGAGGGGAATCGACTCGGGAGCACACTTGCATGCAAATCAGCACTGGCACAAGGAAACACACAGCTTGCAATAGCCCGCCACCAGCATGAGAGACAAGACCAGCAGGTGGAAGCCCTACCTGCAAGCGTTGGGGTAGCAGGAGTGGTTGGCCAGCGAAGCAGCGCCGTACACCGCGTACCCCCGCACCGCCCTCTCCCCCCCCGGCCTGAACGGCGCCATCACGCCAAAGCTGTTGCGCGCGTCTCGCACCAGCAGGGCCAATGTGACCTCCCACGAGGGAGCGGTAGTGGAGCCCGCCTCTGAGCCCGCAGTGGAGCCCTCCTTGGAACAAGCACGCCACGCCCAGTCGTGCGTCGCCCTCAGCACCGCTTCGTGCAGCCGCCTTGCACGTGCTCTCAGCTCGTCCTTGCTCTCGGGATTGACTTCCGCGTCAACCACCTCTTTCTTACCGCTGCTGCTGCCAGCAGCACCAACAGCAGCGGCGGCAGAGGATGCCTTGTTTGCCTCCTTGCCTCGCTCCCTCTCCCCATCTCCTTCTCTCCCCCCCTCCCTCTCATTCCCACCATCAAGCGCCAGCAGCAGCTGAAAGCAGTCATTCCACACCCTCCTCCCGGCCCCTCCCTCTCCCTCCCCTCCCTTCTCGTCTCCTCTCCCGTCCTCCCCCCTTGCTCCCGTTCCCCCAGCTCTCTCCGCCAATTCCTCCCCCCATACTGCCTCCGCCAGTGGGGGAAGCGCGCGGGGGTGCACCAGGAGGTCGTATGCAGCCAATAGGAAGCGGACAGCTGTCCTGTCCTCGCCAGTCAGCAGCGCTGCTTCGCTGTTAGGGCCACCTCCTGCTGACGTGTCACCTGACCCCTCCCCTTCGATTGGCTGTGGCGCGGATGGGTCACCATCGGAAGCTGACGTGGCGGAGCGAGGCGGGAGGCGGGAAAGAGCGCGGCAGTGAGAGGGAGTGTGCGTGGCGGACTGTGATTGGTCGAGGCAGGCGGGGGAGCAGAAGGAACAGATTTTGCAGTGAGCGCAGCAGATTGGGGTGGCGGGGGGAAGGGGGGAAGCGGAGGGGGCGGGCGAGGCGGCGGTATCTGTGGGGCTGGTGGCGGGGAGGCACCTGCAGGATGGCGTTGGGGGAAGAGGGGGAGGGAGAAGGGAAGTGGACGTTAGGCGCTGCGAGCCATTGAGAGGTGGGTGGGAGCAGCAGGGAGGCAACTGCAGAGGGTCGCTGGGGGAAGAGGCGAGGGGAGGCGGGGCGATGATGGGGTGGGGGATTTCAAATCCAAGTTGGACACTTCGACGCGGGGAGCCGTTGATGAGTGGCGATGGTAAGCTGCCCCGATCTACGGTAGTCAATGCTGCCCGTCAATGCTGCCCGTCAATGCTGCCCCTCAATGCAGCCCGTCAATGCTGCCCGTCAGTGCTGCCCGTCAATGCCGCCCGTCAATGCTGCCCGCTATCAGTGGCTACACTTTGCGGCCCAACGGCAAATGCCAAGGCATGACGAACGACTACGTTTAGCGTACGTTCCGCGGTACTCGCTATAGGCAGTCCCCTCTATCGGCGTGCTCACCGCAGGCAGTGCGAGCAGTAGTCGCCGCACGCGTCGTCGTCGACGTATAGCAGCAGGGGCGCCTCGTCCAGCAGCACCTCGCCCTCTCGCACGCCCCGTCGCACGGCCAACCCGCGACCGCGCGAGCCGCGAACGAGCTGCAGCATGCTCTATGGACGTTACAGCAAGAACGTCGCAAGCCGAAAGAACGGAAATGGGTTCGCAAATGAGCTTGTCCAAACAACTCGCTTCCACTGGTAAAACGCCTACACAATTGTCGTCGGAATTCTACCGTAGCTTTATTTCTGTGGCAGAATCCCCGTCCCAAAACCCCACCGTGCCATGACACCTATGCTGTGAGGAGAGGATGCTGAGAAGCTCAGGGTTTCAGGTTTCGGGTTTCGGGTTTGGGGGATCTCGATGCACTTGAGAATTGCGCTGAAACGAGTAGGGCTTCTATAGAGAAGAGTTTGAGATGCGCATACAAAAATCAGGTCACGATTCCAAAGCAACCTTTCATTCAGCACGACCCGAGAAATAACAGCAAGTGCAATAAAGGAGTCGTGATTCAAGAGTGTCCATACAAATGAGGGCCTAGGCATTTATAGGCATGAACAGAGCTAACCGAGAACCACGCGAATAGGTTGGGGCGGTTTGGTTGGCGAAAGCTACGGAAGCGTCACGCGTCAAGGTTTGGGTTCGCAAAGTGGTTCGGAACCGAAGAAGTTGGCCGAGCCTGGACTTCCGAGAGTCGAGGGCGTACACGCTGTAGTTGAGCCTAGTAAAGAAAAGGGAATTTTCTTACACCACCCCCCCTTCCGGGACGAGACTACCCACATCTGGGACACGTCGTCAGTGTAACTAGTCACGAACAACTTTGTAATCGCCGAGCGTAGTTGCAGGGGCCCAGATGTCGTCGTCACTTGTGTGATCAACTCAACGTACGAGGAAATCAACGTCTGCAGTATCCCGGTGACCACGTACGCGGTGAGCAAGATATCAGAATTAGAGAAGTGAATAATGGTAGAGTGAGAGTACACACAGATATACCTAAGTGTTGTACCCTCTAAGAGGTGACCCTATACAGTCTATACAAACATGACAAATACACATGTTTGACACACCCCCTAGACTGCATAGGGGAATGTCCTAAACAAGCAGCTCAGGGCGGCACTACTAGTCCAACCTCTGAGACAAGGGTCTGAGAGACCAGTCAGAAGGGGTACAGACAAGGCAAGAACAAGAGCAGGGCGGCACTACTAGTCCAGCCACTGGGAGAGGACACAAGTCCAGTCTGAGTATACATATAAAGGACAGTACAAAGTCAAGGTCCTAGCAAGTGAGAGGCTACAGGAACTAGACCAAGCTGTACACAGTGCCGCTGATGATCTTTAGGCGCAAGCGCCTTCGTAAAGATATCAGCCGTGTTGGCACCTGAGGACAAGTGTACTACGCGAGCCTGGCGTCGCTGCTGTAGCTCACGCAGGAGGAAGTACCGCAGCTGAATGTGCTTCGCTCTGCCCTCGAGTCGAGGCTCCTGACACAGGAGGATCATGGCCCTGTTGTCAGCGAACAGGACCGGGGCAGAGCTAGGCCGCTCACCTAAGTCATTGAGCAAGAAGGTCAGCCAGCGGAGCTCCTGTGCCGCCATGGCAGCAGCGTAGATCTCAGCCTCGCAGCTGGACTGTGCAACAGACGAGGAGCGGGTAGCTCTCCACGAGACGGCACCTGAGCCAAGGCTGAAGCAGTAGCCCTGGGTAGACCTGAGTGTCTCGACGTCGTCTGCCCACGAAGCGTCTGTGTATCCAGTAAGGACCACTGGCCTGCGTCCTCCTAGCACTAACCCCATGCCCGATGTACTAGCAAGATAACGCAAAACCCTCTTAGCGGCAGACCAGTGCTGCGGTCGGTGTCTGCCTGTGGCCACAAAGCGAGCCAGGATGCTGAGAGGGTATGCGAGATCTGGGCGAGTGCAAGTCATCAGGTACATGAGGCAACCCACCAGCTCTGCGTAGGGGCCGCTGGGCTCTACCGACTCCTCAGACACTGGAGCGGAGAGTCTGTGGTCTACAGGCAGAGGGGTGGGCTGTGCAGAGGAGAACTGAAGGCTGAACCTCTGAAGGACATGGCGCACCAAGTGTGACTGAGTCAGGATGATGGTGCGCGATGCTCTGTCCCTGGAGATCTGCAAGCCAAGGTAGCGGCGCAGTTCTCCAAGGTCAGTGCACGTGTGTCTCTTCAGCAGCTCTGCCTTCACGGAGGCCAGTGCGTCCCTGTCTGCTGTGGCAAAGACCAGGTCGTCGACGTAAACAAGGATGTAGAACAGAGTCTGGCCAGCACGAACGAAGAGTGAAGGGTCTGCGGAAGACGGAAAGAACTGCAGGTCAGCAAGCGTAGCACGGAGAGTGTCGTGCCACTCACGGGGAGCCTGGCGCAGGCCGTAGACGGGGCGCCGCAGGAGCCACTGGGTCCCAGGAGGGAAGGTGCCAGTAAAGCCCTGAGGGCGACGCAAGTAGACCTGCTCGTGTAGGCTGCCCTGAAGGAAGGCAGTGGAGAAGTCGAGGGAGTGAAGCTCGTAGTCACGCTGAGCAGCTAGGTGTAACAGAACCCGAAGAGTAGTCATCTTCGGGGTCGGAGCGAAGGTCTGGAAGAAGTCCACCCCCTCGCGCTGACTGAAGCCTCTAGCCACATAGCGCGCCTTGAACACAGGCGGCTCTCCAGGAGGGCGCTTCACCTTGAAGAGCCAGCGGCCATCGACTACGTTCACCCCAGCCGGGGGAACTGCGTCGAGGAAGATGCCGGTGGATCTCCAAGATGCCATCTCCTGCTCCATGGCAGCTATCCACTGCGAGGCCCAGGGTCCCGAGGTCGCCTCAGCGTAAGTGCGAGGGGTCGGGATGTCGAAAGCGTCTGGGTCACCCTCAGGGACTAGCAGCATGGAACAGAGATGGGGAGCAGCCTCGGAAAGGAAAGCAAGCTCGAACTGGCGGTCCTCCAGGACGTCACTGCCAAAGGCAGGAGCACCCCCGACAGACGGAGGACAGGCAGGGTCAGAGACCAGAGCGGAGGCGTAGTCAAGGCGGCGGGTAGAGGCGAAGTCAGCGACAGCAGCGACAAGAGCGTCAAGGCATGAGACCGGAACAGACGGGTCGGTAACGAGAGAGGCAAGGACCCAAGGAACAAGGGGACGAGCGGCACGAAGGTAGTCAGACAGCGGGGGGGGTGCAACAACAAGGGAGGACGGAGGAGGCGACGGCAGAAGGGGAGGAGGAGACGCATGGGAACGAAGCAACATAGGGTGGGAGCGCAAGACAGGCGAGGCAGGACGAGAACGGGAGGGACGGTGAGACCAGACGTGCGACGGAGGAGTCGGGTCAGGGGACAAGGGAGGGGACACAGGAGGGGAACGAGGGGGGAGACGGGCCGGGGACGATCCGGCGGAGGGAAAACAGGGCCGTAGACAGGAAGAGGAGGAGACGGTCGGGGAGGAACAGACGCAGGGTCGGGGGACGGAAGGCCGAGCAGGCGAAGGGCTGACACCGGCGGGGACTGCTGCTGCGGCGGCACAACGGCGACACCGGGACCGCAAGCTGCTCCTCGGCTACCACCGGCACTCTCCACACCAGCACCCCCAGAGTCAGCGAACGGGGGCTGCGACGGCGGCGGCGGCGGCGGGGGCGGCGGCTGCGGCGGCAGCGACAACGACGGCTGCAGCGGCGGCAAAGGCGGTGGAGGAGGGGACTGGGGAGGGGGCGCCGGGGGAGGGGCGGCCGGCGAGGACTGCACACGAGGGCCACCAGAGTCAGAAGACTCCTCAACCGGGTCCTCCGACGGAAGGGGGGTGACGTGGGACACACCAGAGGGGGCGGGACGGGGAGGAGGAGGAGGAGGGGCAGGGACTACCGGGGAAGGAGTGACCAGGAACAGGGGGGGGTAACCGGGGGACCACGGTGGGGGAAGTGACGGTAGTAGGGGACGGACTCGTCAAAGGTGACGTCACGAGAGTGAAAGAAGCGGTGAGACGGCGGGTGGTAAAAGTGCCAGTCGGACGCGTCAAGAGGAAAACCGAGGAAGACGCAGGGAAGGGTGCGGGCAGTGAGCTTGTCCGTGCCGGAGGCACGAACGTGAGCAAGGCAGCCCTAGACGTGGAACGCAGATGCGTCACCAGGAGACCCAGTCCAAAGACGGGTCGGCGAAACCTGCGGCTGCTGAGGGTGCGGCCACAAGTTAAGCTGGTGAGAAGCGTAGCGCACAGCGAACGGCCACAGAAAATGGGGTGCACCGGCATGGATCATGGAGGTGCGAGCCACCTCCATGACCAAACCGATGCGTCGCTCAGCGACCCCATTCTGCTGTGGGGAGTCCGGTAGGGTGAACGTCTGGGTGATGCCCTCCGCACGACAAAAGCGACCAAGGACACCGGAGGCAAACTCGCCATCACGGTCTGAGTGAAGACGCAAGACAGGGAGACCGCGGTGGACACGCGCAGAGACAAGCCAAGGGATGAGAGCGCCAGGCACGTCGGCCTTGCGCTCCAGGGGAAAGACTGTGGTGTAACGAGTGAAGTCGTCGACAAGCACAAGGAAGTAGCGCTCTCGACACGGCCCAGGGACGGGGGCGGGGCCCCAGACGTCCAGGTGCAGGGTCTGCAGCGGCGCGGCGGTAGGGGGAAACGAGGAGGAGTGAGGGGCACGGCGAAGCCGACCCTCGACACAAGGCGTGCAAGGTGGGGCAGGGGAGGAGGGAAACGCGGGGAGAGAACCTGGGAGACCAAGGACAAGACCGTGCTGGGACATGTGACGCAGACGTGGGAGCGCAGGGTGACCTAGGCGGTGGTGCCAAAGGAGGGTCGGGTGAGTGAGGGACCGACAGGAGCAGGCGGCAGCAACCTGGGTGAGCGCTCCAGCCGGGGGGGTCACGGTGTCCAGAGTGAACAGGCCGGACACCGGGTCCCGGGGGAACGTGGACAGGGGGGCACCAGTGGCGGCCTCGGTACAGACAACATACCGCTCGTGACCAGGGAACGTAGTGGTGACGCCAAGGTCCTGGAGGCAGCCGACACCAACTAGGTTCCTGGAGAACGAGGGGATATGCGGACCTGTGAGAGTGCCCGAAGGAACCGCCGGACAGGGAAGGGTGGTAGAACTGCGGGCGACTACCGGACCGCCGGAGGGGTCAGCAAGAGAAACGGCAGCAGGAACAGGAAGCGGCGTCAGGGTGGTGGAGTCGCGGAAGAAACACCGAGAAGCGCTAGAGTCCAAGGTGAAGGAAAGCGAAGCAGAGGCGGCTGGCGACGGAATGACGGCGGAAGCACCAAGACTACACAAAGCAGAGGATCCTACGCCTGACGCAG